TTCTGCAAACTTTCTAACCTGTCATATCTCCCATTCTAAAGCATCATAGAAAAAATAAGTTTTGACATTTCCAGAGTGCAAAAAGCTTTAGCAATATAGCATTTCAATGCAAGTTTTTGAGTTATTTTTAATAGATAATGGTGAATTGACAGATTCAGTGATTACATGGATAGTTGTGATGCATCCATCTTTTCTTTTGTGCTGCTTTCCTTATTTTTATGGGTACTAGGATTAAGCAGGCCTGGGCAAACTTCAGCCCTCCGGGTGTTTTGGACTTCAACTCCCACAATTCCTAACAGCCTATCGGCTGTTAGGAATTGTGGGAGTTGAAGTCCAAAACACCCGGAGGGCTGATGTTTGCCCAGGCTTGGTTTAGAGAGACTACAAATAACTGTCTGATTCCAAGATATTTTTTAGTCTTGTGGTGAGTTCACCAAGCGAGGCCACTGGATTCTGAGACGATCAACACCGCTAGGCCTGGCTTAAGTTCTTCCCCTCCTCAATGTCACTTCAATATGGAAATGAATGCAGAATATATTCATTCAAAATAACAGATGAGCCATTGTATCCTGTGCATTCAGAGGAGAGGATTGGCACAGACAGTTCGGTCTTAAACTGTCACCAAGTATTATCAAAACAAACATGGAAAGCTGCCTTATATCAAGTCAAACTTTTGGTTTATTTAGTCTATAGTTTTCCATTCTATGTGGCAGCCTCTCTCTGGCAAGGATCTTCCTCAACCCTGGGGAAGATTGAAATATAAATTACATGCTCTGCCAATAAGCTACGCTGGCTCCCTCTTAAACTGTACTGGAAAGGGGAAGAGAGAAAATATCATAAGTAAGTTGCACTCTTTGTCTTTTAATATATGAGGGTTGAATGAAAAGTAATGTCTCCACCTTCGTAACTCCTCAACAGATGGTAGTACTGGCATGCAGCAGGTACTGACTTGTTCAGTAGACTCTCCTCTAGAGTTCCATTTTGGCGGGAAGCCTTAGCATTGAATGGTTGTGTTGTCAAAATGCGAAGTATGGAACCCTGTACAGATGGTCGGTCAATGCGACTTAAGCAGTGTGCAGTCATTGAACTCTTGACAGCAGAAGGTCTTACCCCAAAGCAACTTTATTAGAGAATGTCAGCTGTTTATGGTGATTGTGTTGATGTGAGTACTGTGCGTCACTGGGCGAGTAAGTTTAAAGATGTTGAGGTGATAATATCTGACTTGCGTGACAAAGAAAGAGTTGGACGTCCTGTGACAGCAACCACCGAGTTTCACAAGAAAAGGTTGACAGATTGATTCAGTACAATTGTCATATTACTCAGAGAGAAATTTCAAGCATAATCGGCATTTCACAAGAACGTGTGGGTCACATTATTGCTTTGCTTGGCTTTTGGAAGATCTGGGCACAACGGGTTGCAGAAACAGTGTCAACTTCTTTTGTGACGGCTTCAGAAAACTTGTTCATTTTTGGCAGAAATGTATCCAATTGTCTGGTGATTATGTCAAAAAGTGAATAGTGGTAGTTAAAGAGCATATTCTAAGGATTATTTCTGTGTTTGCTTATTAAAATATTCCCATCCAAACCCAAGCAACGAAGGTGGAGGCATTACTTTTCATTCGACGCTCGTATTCTAGGTCTTTTTAATGTAGTTGTGCTGTAATCCTCACACATCATACTGATTGCTCTCGGCAAGAACCGCTTCCTTTACATTCTCTATCCCTTTGCAACATCCTTTTCCATTCGACGATGGAGGTTTCTTGGGATCCTTGTTGTCAGTGTTCACATCAGATAAGGGCAATTTCACTTCCAGTGTTCATTTATAAGATTCCATTCAACTGTGTATAGATATAGAAAGAGAAAGAGATCCCAAAGCGCTGTAGCATAGGCTGGCAGTCAGAATGCCCTCAAGGCGAAACAGCAAGTGTTGGGAAGCTCTGAAATGCTAAGTAATGTATGTGTCCTGGCACTCCATGAAAGATCTCCTTCTACAGAATGGAGAAGGGGCAGATTTAACTGACAGATTGGGAGACGAGGCTGCTATATACTGAGCACTGCGACTCTGTGTGAATGTTAGTATGATTGAGGAATGAATGGGTTGAATGGGTTTTAAGGTGTCTGAGTGTGTGCACCCACACATATAAACAAACACAGCAGCCTGAATACTACGGATTAGTTCCAACTGGAATAGATCCATTGAATTTATTGTTGAGTGGGAAGTCAATAAGCTGTATTGATTTCGTGCTTCAACTCTTATTAGGTTAAACAATAGAATTTCAATATGTTGTCAAAGACTTTCATGGCTGGAATCATTGGGTTGCTGTGAGTTTTCTGGGCATTCTCTCCTGACGTTTCGCCCACATCTATGGCGGACATCCTCAGAGGTTGTGAGATATATTGGAAACTAAGCAAGGGAGGTTTATAAATCTGTGGAAGGTCCAGAATGGGAGAAAGAACTCTTGTCTATTGAAGGCAAGTATGAATGTTGCAATTAGCAAGCTTGATTAGTATTTATTTATTTATTTATTTGTTTGTTTATTTATTATTCGAACTTATATGCCGCCACTCCCCTGGGGCTCGGAGCGGCTTACAAGAATGACTAAAATATAACACAATTTAAAAACAATTTAAAACAATTTAAAACAGCAATATCAACAATCAAAGGCCTATCGAAACAGGTATGTCTTACATGCCCTGCGGAAACTGATAAGTCCCGCACTTCAGGTGGCAGAGTATTCCAGAGTGATGGTGCCACTGCTGTAAAGACTCTGTGTCTGGTTGCTGTTAGACGCAAGGTCTTGACACTGGGAATTTCCAATAGATCTTGGTCCTCAGAACGGAGGGATCTCTGGGGTTGGTAGGGCATTGAATGGCCTTGGAGCTTCAAAGCCTGGCTGCTACCTGCCTAGGGGAATCCTTTGTTGGGAGGTGTTAGGAGGGAGATTCTAGACCTGGGAAATTGGGGCTATTACATTACTTAGGTCAACCAGCAACAGAAACCTGAAAAGTCACGTTTGTGGTCTACAACTCCCAAAATTCCCCAGCGACTGTACAGTCAAACTTCTGTATCCAGAAACTTAATGATTAATTGCTTGAAAGTATCCCCCTTCCACCCTCTCAAAACAATCCAAAAAGCAAATCTCGATTCGGCATTTTATATAAGGAGTACCATTTCTCTATTCCACCGAATGTATATTTTTGGATCCACAGGTGGGGTCCTGGAACCAAGGCTCTGTATATATAATAGATACAGTCCACAGAGCCAGCATGGTCTGAGTGTTAGATTAGGTCTCTAGGAAACCAGGATTCAAATATCTGCTCAGCCATGGAAATCCATTGGTTAACTTGGACAAGTCACACTATTTCAACCTCACAGAAAGGCGAGGGCAAATAATCCCCATGGGGATCTGCCAATAAAATCCTGTGATAGGTACACCTTAGGCTTCTCATAAGTCCAAAATGACTTGAAGGCACATAGCAACAGCAACAACAAAGTAGTAGATCACATAGCAAGGCTTTCAGAATGAATATCTTTTTTCTGCTCTGTAGTCAAGGGTGGCTGGTTTTCCAACTTATCTTCACTAATGATATTGCCACTTATTTTCCACTCTTTTTCTGATGGAATAAAATGAATTAGAAGTAGTGCAACTCTGGCATTAGTCATCTTGACTAGAAGGAAGAGAAAGCCAAGACTCTAACTGTAGATGTAAAGCTCTTGGTGTGTGGGCTGCATCTCAATTAATGTATTGGAGAGTCATTTACGACCCTTTGTTTTGTACACCACACACAATCAATTCAGTTTGACACTACTTCAAGTGCCACGTCTCAATGTTTTGGAATCATGGGAGTTGTAGTTTTACTAAATCATCTCACCAGTGTCCACAGACTAACTTTGGGGCTTCACGCACACAGTGGACAGCTATCTCAACAAACTGGTAAAATATTTTTGGGCAGCAAGGCATAACTGGAAGTGTCCTAGGAATAGCAATGGCTGGTTTCCAGAAAGTGAAACTGCGTGGGCAATGGGGCAACCATATAGCTCCAGAAGGAGGGAGATTCAAGACCTGGGAAATTGGGGCTATTACATTACTTAGGTCAACTAGCAACAGAAATCTAAAAAGTCACTTTTGTGGTCTACAACTCCCAAAATTCCCAAGTTACCAGAGCAACTGTGCATACTGAGTCGGAGATATTGAGAGTTGTAGTCCAAAGCAGTAGCTTTTCCAAATTCTGGGTTGTTGTGGGTCTATGCCCAGAGAGTTGGCTCATGGCAGAAGTCCTATGCTTACATGAGCTTCAAGACATTGTTCTACACAGCTGTGAATTTCTGAGGCATCTGTACACTGTTTGTAGTATTGTAAGGAGATGGTTTGGATCAGTGTTTCTCAACCTACCTAATGCCGGGACCCCTTAATACACTTCTTCATGTTATGGTGACCCCCAACCATAAAATTATTTTTGTTGCTGCTTCATAACTGTAATTTTGCTACTGTTATGGGGGAGGTGCTATTTTTGAATTCTTGGAAGGACAGGTGGAGAGATCTTCATCATTCTCTGCCAAAGGTGTCCCTAAGACCATCAGAAATATGTGTTTTTCCGATGGTCTTTGGTGACCCCTCGAAACACCCCTCACAACTCCCCCAGGGGTCCCGACCCCCAGATTGAGAAACACTGGTCTGGATGGTCCTTGTGGTCTCTCACAACTCTTTAATTCTGTGATTCTGTTCTATGATACTAGTGCAAGCATGGGCAAACTTCAGCCCTCCAGGTGTTTTGGACTTCAACTCCCACAATTGTGGGAGTTGAAGTCCAATACACCTGGAGGCCGAAGTTTGCCTGTGCCTGTTCTAGTGCTATCACTTTATCTACACAATGGAACACTTTTTTGATTTCTCTGAGATTTTCTGTCACCTATGCATTCCTTTCTCCTTCTCGTTTTCTTTCCTTTTTCCTCGACTTGCTGTACTCTTGAATCTCTATTCTTCTTCTTTTCTGTTTCAGCAAAACAATATCAATCAAAGTAATTGATGATGAGGAATATGAGAAAAACAAGACCTTCTACATTGAAATTGGGGAGCCCCGTCTGGTGGAGATGAGTGAAAAGAAAGGTGGGGGATCGGCTATGTGGGGCTGGGCCCTACCTGTATGAACCAGTCTCGATCACTCATGGATGCTTGAGTTGGCACATTCCAGTTCATAGACTCTCAAAGCCACACATCCCGTTATCTATGTAACTGGGCAGAGAACTGAGTTGCTGACAGTGGAGCCCATCAGTAGTGTATTCTAAACTATGAATTTGCATTTCCCCTGATACAGCCTTCACATCATTTAATATATATACCACAATGTTGTGCCTAGGATACAACATTGTTTCCTAGGCTTTGTGCAGGTAAGGATGATAGCTCTTTTCAGCCATTTATCAGAATGACTGATGGAGCCTCTGGTGGCACAGTGGGTTAAACCACTGGGCTGCTGAACTTGCTGACCGAAAGGTCGAAGGTTTGAATCCAGGAGCGGGGTGAGCTCCCGCTGTTAGCCCCAACTTCTGTCAACCTAGCAGTGTGAAAACATGCAAATGTGAGTAGATCAATAGGTACCACCTCGGTAGGAAGGTAATTGGCACCATGCATTCATATTTATTTATTTACAGTATTTATATTCCACCGTTCTCACCCCGCAGGGGACTCAATGCACATATACATGGCAAACATTCAATGCCATTTAGACATAAAACATATATATACAGACGCAGGGGCAATTTTAACATTCCAGCTGTTCCCAAGCTTTTTCTGGCTTCATGAGGGTATGCTGGATTCCAACTCAATTCCAGCCACAGAGGGAGCTGCTGCTTCACTGTCCCTTTGTGACACCAAGTCCTTTGATAGAGTACTTCCCCATTCATCTGCACACTGCTGGAAGGTTTTTATGGCATCATAAATTAGTTAAATTAGCCTCCCCGCATAAGCGGTTCCTAAATTTCCTACTTGTCAGATGCAACTTTCTTTCGGGCTGCATGGGTTGACAGCAAGCTAGACGAATGGCCAGAAGCTCACTTTGTGAGGGGGCTCTTAATCACATGAACCAGACTTCCAGAACAGAGGTTTTTTGCTCTTTTACATACATAAAAAGTGTGGATGTGTGTCCGGGTCTCCCATTACCATCACAGTCAACCTCCACTTCAGCCGGTCGAACTGAAAAAGCATGTGTGTGCAATGCCAACCATTTGTTTGCCTTTGTCTTGTGTTCCCACAGGAAATGCATTACCCTTAGAATACTTGACCGCGAGGAATATGAAAAAGAGTGCAATTTCTACCTTGTGCTTGAGGAACCAATATGGATACGGAGAAGAACGAAAGGTGTGAGAGTAAACCCAGACAGCTCACAAGAAACGGGGACCTTTCTCTGTGTGTGTCTCCCTCCTCTCACAACTTTCTTGCTCAGCTTCCACTTAACTTGCCATGGCCTCTGTCAAACTTAGCAGCTGTAATTTTCTCTCTCTCTTTCCCTGTCTTTTTTTAAAAAAAAAACCCATCCTCATTGGGTTTTGCATCCTATTAAAACAATTCATGGAAAATAAAGATATATATAATAGGTCCTGTGGTGTGGATAATATAAACATCCAAGCAAGAGGACATCCACAATGTCCTCTTTCTCAGGGCCTTTCCAGACAGGCCCTATATTCCAGGATCTCATCCCAGGCTTTCTGCTTTAAATAGGATTATATGAGTCCGCACTGCCAGATAATTTGGGATAAACAGAAAACCTGGGATATAGGACCTGTCTGGAAGGGCCCCCCAAAGGGGTCAATACCTAATAATAATAATAATAATAATAATAATAATTTATTTATTTATACCCCGCCACCATCTCCCCAAGGGGACTCGGAGCAGCTTACATGCTGAGCCATTCTTCTCATGGTTCAGCATTTACGTGGCTTACATACCCTGTCTTCTGCCAACCGAGCAATTCAAAAGCATGCAAATGTGAGTAGATCAATAGGTACTGCTCTGGTGGGAAGGTAATGGCGCTCCATGCAGTCATGCTGGCCACATGACCATGGAGGTGCCTAGGGACAATGCTGGCTCTTCATCTTAGAAATGGAGAGGAGCACCAACCACCAGAGTCAGACACAACTGGACTTAATGTCAGGGGAAACCTTTACCTACATACCCTGTTTCCCTGAAAATAAGACCGAGTCTTATATTAATTTTTGTTCCAAAAGATTCATGATGGCCTATGTATAGCTGCCTAGACATTATTTAATTTGCCTTTTTTTTTGAAGTGTAACCAGGGCTTATTATTTGAAGTAGGGTTTATAAATTTTGAGCATCCTCAAAAATCCTGCAAAATCACACTAGGGCTTATTTTCAGGGTAGGTCTTATTTTTGGGGAAGCAGGGTTTGTGTCAGTCATGCTCTATTGCATTTAAGTAATTCATAGTACAATATATCCTATTATACACAAGCAACATACAGTTGGCCCTCCGTATTCATAGATTCTGCATCCAAAGATTGGACCAATAAAAATGTTCTAATAATAATTACCAAAAGCAACCCTTGATTTTTCCATTTTATATAAGGAACACTATTTTACCCCACCAATGTATTTTTTGGGGGGGTATCCACGACGGGCCCTGGAAACAAAATCCATCAAATACCAAGGGCCCAATGTGTACTATTCCCTCTGTTGTTGTCTTTCACAGATCGCAGGCTGTCTGAAGGAATCCAAAAAAGTAACTTTCCTAGGTTTTGCCTTTTCCCACGTCCAACTCTGGATTCTCAGCTGTGTTCGGCAGCCTGGGCATGCTGCCATTTTAATATCCCTGGTCCTGCTCTTTCTCCATATTGTAAAGTTGATAATAAAAAGGCATGGCATGAATAACAAAACTGGCAAGGCCATGACCAATGAACCAACTCCTCATCATAACTATAATGAAATCCATTGCATTTATGCAGACCTTATCTCTAGGTCACAAAAAAACAAACGTTCTTCAAATCAGCTACAGATGTATTTTACAAGGAGTCCTCTCTTGCTTGCCCTCTTTAAATATATCCAGGCTTTGAAAGAACAGACGTTAAGTGGAATTGTCTTGTTTTTTTCTGAGGAAAATAATGTATTACATATGGTATTAAAGCACAGTTCAACCATATACTGATATATCTCCTGAAATAAAATAAATTGGGCTTGGAATTATAACAGTTGAGCTTCTCGGAATTAAAAGGAAGCATTCATGCTGAGGATTCAATGACTTTTCACAGTGCAGTGGACTTCAGATATCGGAGTGGGGCAACCTGTGGCTTCTGAGTCTGCCCTAGATTATAATCCTAATTTAAAGCAGCTCCCAATATGAGAATCATAGGAAACCAGTTAGTTTGAGTTACTTTCAGAGATTTGAAGGCTATTTGAAGTAGTGGAAATGAAATATGAAGATAGACCAGTCGTGGGCAAACTTGGGCCCTTCAAGTGTTTTGGACTCCAACTCCCACAATTCCTTACAGCCTCAGGCCCTTTCCTTTTCCCCCTCAGCTGCTTAAGCAAATGAAGCAGCCTTATTATATGGAAGTGGTTTGCTTTCCTTTTCAGTAGGTTTTCTGAGATAAAACTGCTAAACCCAAGGCAAGAATGACAACTGCCAGTCCAAATATCTGCTTTTATTTCTGACAACTCCACTGTAAATGACAGCCCTTTTTTAAAGCCCCCCCCTTCCCCCCCGGTGGTTTAGCGGGTTAAACCGCTGAGCTGCTGAACTTGCTGACCAAAAGGTTAGTGGTTCGAGTCAAGGGAGTGGCATGAGCTCCCACTGTTAGTCCCATTTTTTACCACCTAGCAGTTCGAAAACATGCAAATGTGAATAGATCAATAGGTACCGCTTCTGCGGGAAGCTAGTGGCGCTCCATGCAGTCATGCCAGCCACATGAATTTGGGGATGTCTATGGAGAATGCTGGTTCTTCAGCCTGGAAATGGATATGAGCACCACTCCCCAGAGTTGGACACAACTAAACTTAATGTCAGGGAAAACCTTTACTTAATCTCTTTGTTCCCCCCTCCGACACACACACACACACACACACACACAGATGCTTTCTGGAACTGTGTTTTTGTTGAGGTCCTGAGTATGATTCCCTTGTTAAAGAACCTCTTAAATATATCTTGTGACCCTTCATGGAAGTCCTATCTGAGAATTTCTAGGAAACAATTATTAATAATAATAATAATAATAAATAAATAATATACACTGGGTGCAGTGCCTAAATACCTTGGCCTGCACATAAACACAAGAGGCACTGACAAAATTACCATTTGCCAGCTGCAGAAGGCCACCTTACTGGGATCTGCACACATTATTTGCCGATACATCACACAGTCCTAGACACTTGGGAAGTGTCTGACGTGTGATCCAACACAACAGCCAGCCGAGTGTCTGCTGTGGACTCGTCTTGTTGTGTTTCGAATACTAATCATCATAATCTTTGTTTCTTTGTATAATAATAATCTTTATTTATACCCCACCACCATTTCCCCAAAGGGGACTCGAGGCAGCTTACAAGTGGATGAAGTGCAGAACAGAGTACTATCCAGAGACATAGGGACTTGGCCATAAACCAGCACATTTTAGTTATGATCAGAGTTGATTTTCATTCATCAAAGGACCCCTATGGTCTTTCATTTCCCACTTTTAGGTTTCCTAATTTTTCTTCTCATTCCAGGATTTTTAAGCTGTCATTCCCAAGGGTTGTCTGAATTGAGAATGGCCCATTGAGTGTGATAAGCAGCCACTTTTGTAAGGAGGCTTCCATGTCATTACATCCCACTCTGGTCTTTAGGAAAGGAGCTTTCCAAGGTGCTGAATGTAATTTGGAGTTCAGCACCTCATGTAGCTCTTTCAACATGTGTACAAAAACCAAAGTGGACAACATGTGGAAGTAATCCAAACCATACTGTTGACTTGGAAGAGGGTTTTCCACAACTCCGGTTCACAAAGATGTTTCTTTTTTCAGGCTTGAAGTCTTGGGTAAAAAAGGTAAACATTCTCTACAACAAGTATGGGCCAATTTGGGCCTTCCAGATGTTTTGGGCTTCAACTCCCACAATTCCTAACAACCTCAGGCCCTTTCCTTTTCCCCCTCAGCCGCTTAAGCAGCTGAGGGGGGAAAGGAAGGGGCCTGAGGCTGTTAGGAATTGTGGGAGTTGAAGTCCAAAAGATCTGAAAGACCCAAGTTGTCCCATACCCGCTCCACAATATTATTCTTCAATCATTTCAGAACCAAAGTTCTCCCACATGACAAAGCACTCCTTCCAATGTCATAATTTTAGATATCGGAATGGTTTAAAAAAAATGTAAAAGCAAAGGAATAAAGAACACTCTTGCAGATATCCGCTGGGACATATTCTTTCCTCAAACTCTGGCAGAGCTGTCACTGATGCAAAAGGAGATCTTAAATGCGGATCCAGGAAGTCATTTCACCTTTTAAAAAAACTTGGGAACACAAAATTAATTCTGAAAGATTGTATCTCTGGCACCATAGAAATGGATAAATGTGTTTGACATCTTCCCACAATTTCACAGCCCATCCCCATGAGATGTGCCTCTTTCCCATTATTATTTCTCATGCTCTTTTTATTCTTTATAGTAATGGTGTCCTGCTTTACAGATCTTCACTCTCTCTGGTTTCCCGGATCTGGAGCTTTTCTGTGGACGTTCTCTTTTATTTCATTGCTCATTGTCTTTTCTTCTTCTGTGTTTTGTCCTTCTGTGTCTTCTCCACAGCCCTGTTGTTGAATGAGCTTGGTAAGCACTGCATTTCTTGTATTTCTTTTCCATTTTTAAAACCAATTGATACATTTTTATGTAAGTTAATTGGATTGTCCTTTTCGGTTGGTTTGTTCCCTTACTTTCCTTATCCTTAAACGGTTCTTTGGGAAGGGGGATTATTAATGCAATTTGACTGAGAGTAGCTGATGTCATATTTTTCCTTCAGTCTCCAGTAGTCACTCAGATTCAATGGGCCTTTAGACCAGGCACGGGCAAAGTTGGTGTTGAGATTAACTTCACAATTCAGCAGCAGATCAGTTGCACAACTTCAGAGCTTTCTAGTAGCTTCTTCCTACACAGTATTTTCAGTCAACTGCTCCCACAGCCTGCAGCCACGTTGGAACCTTTTACAGACACTTGAGCGCATACCCGGCGATTGTCAGTTTTACCATTGTCTTTCCCCCGGTCTAGATGACATTACAAACTTACCACAGCACACAGTTATATCTTGTCTTAGCAGACAGGTTCTTTTAATTACATATAGCCTTCAACGAACAACATCACAGCACAAGGAGAAATATACACTGTACATGACTTCCTTATATACAATTCATTTACACATAGCAATCACCGATTGGTTCCCAACTCATTGACTCAACTCAGACCCAGGATTACATCATTCACAATCACCTGGACTAGGTCAGAACACATTCACCAAATGAAGTTCTATATACAGTTAATGCATGACTCAGCATTTCCAATAGAAGCCCATTAGCAGTGCATGACTCAGCTATATTACATTACAATACATTGTAAAACCTGACACTTGGGCCCTCCAGGTGTTTTGGACCTCAACTCCCACAATTCCTAACAGCCTCAGGCCCCTTCCTTTTCCCCAGCTTAAGATTGTGTTCAGATGGCCTTTGGGCCAAGTTGGGGTATATCTGTACCAGGCCTGGGCAAACTTTGGCCCTACAAGTGTTTGGGACTTCAACTCCCACAATTCCTAACAGCCTCAGGCCCCTTCCTTTTCCTCCTCAGCCACTTAAGCAGGCGTACACCAGAATAGCAGGGGTACATCCCCCAATCTTGCTTCCCCATGAACACTGGTACAACAACATATCTGATATTATGGCAATATGTCATGGTCCCAAAAAGCATCAGCCAACGAAGAAGAGACGTGCAAGATTTTGATATCATGTCACACATTTTGAATTTCTAGAAGTTGCCAAGGGAGGGAGAAGCAGGGCTGCATTAGAACATCTAATTCTGATCCTAAACAAGGAAACAACACTTTAGTCCCAACCATTTCTACTCAAAAGTAAATTCCATTGAGTTCCGGTGGCACCTGTTCCAAGGTAAGTGTTTATAGGAGTCCAGCCCCAAGTTTTCAAGGTTCTTGTTAACACTTCCTACTTTTTATTACTTATTATAGATAATATTATTTCATTCTCTTACACATCCCTATGCCCAGTGGGTCTACATCTTTACAAATTAGTTTATAATTAGGGTGGAAGTTGAAATGACGCAAGTGGCACATACAGATGTTAATTTCTTTCTTTTTTCTTTCTCTCCCTCTCTCTTTCCTGCCATTCCTTTAGGTGGCTTCACAATAACAGGTATGGATTTTCAATTGTCTTCTTTGCTCAAATATACATTTCCACTGTTAAAATATCAGATTTTTTCCCCCCTGCTGATTCTTTGGTCTCCTTTTTAAACTTGTTAAGGTAGGCTAACAACAAGGTTTTGGTATCTTCAAACAACGAGTCTGTTCTTTTCAATTATACATAACGATAACTCATGCATTCAATGCATGGTCCACTCGGTTGTCATCTTTCTCTGACCTTCCATGAACCTCTGAGACCACATGCAGCTTTCTCTCTCAAATTGTATTCATAACAAAAAAAGGTTTTGAAATAGAATTCTATGAGGGTTGAATGAAAAGTAATGCCTCCACCTTCATAACTCCTCAACAGATGGCCGTACTGGTATGCAAATTTAAAATGCAAATGTAGCATATAAAATGATCATCAGCAATGAAGATGCATTAGACTAATGGGCATTATACTTTGTTGTGTTTATATATATATATATATTAAAAATACATGTTTTTCCAGAGTTTTTAAGTTGATACATAAAAGATAAAATTATTTTTAGGCAGATGAAACGTATTTAAAACCAATGTTTTCAATGCCAAAGAAAGACTTACAGAAGTTATCGAGTACTGTTTTAAGGACCCAAAGCTGCACAGCCAAATACAATTTTGTTCACTCAGGAAAAGGACTCTGAGGATTGAACCAAAGTGAGATACACAAGACTTCCTAGTCTAGACATGCTCAAATAGGAGTCTTCTAAGTAGTCTTTCAGATAATCTGATTCCAAAGCCAGGAAAACTAGGCAATTTCTATGTTCTGTTTATTAACATCTTGGCTTTTTCTTGTTTTTGCTTTTGTAATGAAGGAAAGTGTTGGAATGGTAAGACATTGTAGTCTCTTTTACGTTGGCCGGGATTAATATTAAACCCACAACACAGTAATTAGTGTCTACACATGTTTTGATAGTGGAGTGTGGTCTTTCATTTTCACATATTTAACATCACCCTGATGGAGAAGAGTTTTGGAAAGTGTGAGGTGGGGTGGGCCTTGGAAACACACATATATTTTGATTAGGAAATATCTAACTTACGTGTCCTCCATACAGCCAATAGCCCTGGTAAACATTGGACTAACACTGAGCTATTCAATTTCTTGACTGCACATCATGCAGGTTTTGTTCCAGTTCCACATCCAATCATGTCATCAATATTCCATTCATCTTTTTGCCCTCCTTTTAGTATGGTTGGTTAGCTCTGGTGTTTTGCCTGCCAAATCCCAAAACTTGTCGCCAATTGGAAACACCTTTTGTGTGAGTTAAGCCAAAGTCCCATCAGATTTGATGCCGCTCTAAAATAAACTCAGGCTCCTTCCAAATGTTCCTCATCATCTTCCCCCACATCTTATTTAGTAGTGGCAAGCTGGAAGGTATGTGTGTGCATGTGTCCTCAAGTCACACATTCGGTTTTGGTGGCCCCATCAATTTCATAGGGTTTTCTTAAGCTAGAAATACTCACAAGTGGTTTCACTAGTTGTTTCTCCAGTGGTAAAGCCTACTGTAGGCTCTATTTATTTATTTATTCATCTTCTTCCGTCCAAGTGCTAACAAGGATTGGCCCTATTTATCTTCCAATGTCATAGAATCATAGAGTTGGAAGAGACCTCGTGGGCCATCCAGTCCAACCCCCTGCCAAGAAGCAGGAAAATTGCATTCAAAGCACCCCTGACAGATGGCCATCCAGCCTCTGTTTAAAAGCCTCCAGCAAGGGAGCCCCCACCACACCACGGGGCAGAGAGTTCCACTGCTGAACAGCTCTCACAGGAAGTTCTTCCTAATGTTCAGGTGGAATCTCCTTTCTTTCCTGTAGTTTGAAGCCATTGTTCCACATCCTAGTCTCCAGAACAGTGGAAAAGCAGCCACCTCCATCCACCCTATGACTTCCCCTCACATATTTATTTATTTATTATTTATTTATTTGCTGTATTTCTATACCGCATTTTTCAGCCCAAACAGGCGACTCAATGCGGTTTTTATACATAGCCCTCATCACGTCTCCTCTCAACCTTCTCTTTTGCTGGCTAAACATGCCCAGCTCTTTAAGCCACTCCTCATAGGCTTGTTCTCCAGACCCTTGATCATTTTAGTCACCCTCCTCTGGACATATTCCAGCTTGTCAATATCTCCCTTCAATCGTGGTGCCCAGAATTGGACACAATATTCCAGGTGTGGTCTAACCAAAGCGGAATAGAGGGGTAGCATTACTTCCCTAGATCTAGACACTATGCTCCTATTGATGCAGGCCAAAATCCCATTGACTTTTTTAACCGTCACATGACATTGTTGGCTCATGTTTAACTTGTTGTCCACGAGGACTCCAAGATCTTTTTCACACATACTGCTCTCAAGCCAGACATCCCCCATTGTGTATCATTTCATTTTTTCTGCCAAAGTGGAGTATCTTGCATTTGTCCCTGTTGAATTTTATTTTGTTAGTTTTGGCCCATCTGTCTAATCTGTTAAGATCGTTTTGAATCCTGCTCCTGTCTTCTGGAGTATTGGCTCTCCCTCCCAATTTGGTGTCATCTGCAAACTTGATGATCCTGCCTTCTAACCCTTCAACTAAGTCATTAATAAAGATGTTGAACAGAACCGGGCCCAGAACAGAACCCTGAGGCATCTGACACTCAGACATAATATGATATCCTTAGGATATTTAGGACCCCTGGAAGGGTGTGATTCAGAGTGAATTCTGAATGTTTTCACCCAAAACTTAACTTTTTCAAGTTATCATCAGGAGCTTAATAAGCTGAAACATAAGTAAGCTTTAAATTAGCAGTTTATCCAAATCCAAACAGTAGGGCATATTTTGTAGGGGTTTTTTTTAGGCAGTCCTCTGAAATATAATCTATAGCATCTGATATTGTCTGTCTCCCAAGGCCCCACCAGACCAGATTCTGAATAATTTCCAAGATCAGATGGGATCTGGGATTTTTAAAATAACTTATTTAGGCAACTTGACTGGAGCTTACAAGAGAAACCAAGTACTTCCAATGTCATAATTCCCTGCTTCATTTGCAGAGTGCTTTGGAACAGTGTTTCTCACCCTTCCTAATACCACATCCCCTTAATACACTTCCTCATGATGTGGTGACCACCAACCATAAAATTATTTTTGTTGCTACTTTGTAACTGTAATTTTGCTAGTGTTATGAATCGTAATGTAAATATAGGATACGCAGGATGTATTCACTGGACCAAATTAGGCACAAATACCCAATACACCCAAATTTGAATACTGGTAGGGATTGATTTTGTCATTTGGGAGTTGTAGTTGCTGGGATTTATACAATTAAAGAGCATTCTGAACTCCACCAATGATAGAATTGAAGCAAACTTGGAACACAGAACTCCAATGACCAACAGAAAATACTGGAAGATTTTGGTGGGCATTGACCTTGAGTTTTGGAGTTGTAGTTCACCTAATTCCAGAGAGCACTGTGGAATCAAACAATGATAGATCAGGACCAAGCTTGGCACGAATACTCAATATGCCCAAATGTGAACACTGGTGGAGTTTGGGAAAAATAGACTTTGACATTTGGGAGTTGTAGTTGCTGGGATTTATAGTTCCTCTACAAAATAAGAGCATTCTGAACCTCACCAATGATAGAATTAGGCCAGACTTCCCACACAGAACCCCCATGACCAACAGAAAAGACTTGTGTTTTCTGATGGTCTTTGGCGACCCCTCTGACTCCCCCTTGCAACTCCACAGGTTGAGAAATGCTGCTTTGGAGCATCCAGATGATAACATCTTCATCTTAAAATTATTCTGTGTTTTCCCATTGTTTCTTCCATCTTTTTCCCATTTACCAAAAAAAATCAACAATAAAAAGATGCAATAGGTACACAGTGCCTTTTAATTAGCAGTTCAAGTAGTGCTCTGTCTGGAAAGCATCCAAAGCATATTTTATATGCAGTGAGAAACCTTTCTTCTATGTTCCAAATCACATAGTATACACGAAGAGGAGGGAAATGCCTTATCAATAGAAGCCTTATCTGCCAAGCCCACTAAAAAGGGATCTTTTACATTCTTTATTTTCTCACTGTCTGCTAGAAGACTTGCCAGACAGATTCAAGAATGCCCCTTTCTTCTCTCTTTGTTGTTCATTTCATGCTTCTCTATCAGTCTTGGTCAGGTTATCTGATGCAGCCCTTTTCCATGGGGGCAAAATAACACATTGTACTTTATGTATTTCTAGCCACTTTGTTAATTTCTCTAAGCAATGTGTCCAGCATAGCCATGACTCCGAGGAACCCTCAAGAAGATTAGACTTGCATAGGCAGCCAAGGAGAGTGATAAGGACTGCATCAAAATGTACAATTTCCTATTCATTGTAATCATTTTTTTCCATGCACTAACCTGCTCAGACTGAAAAATTGCAAAATACACTTTCATTAAGAAGCTGCTATCTGAAAAACAGCTACTTGAAATGCAGGACTTGATTCATAGCTCTGATTATTCACATAAATATAGAAGACAGAGTTTGGAAAAGTTAAATGCATTCTCAAAGGTTTTCGTGGCCGGAATCACTGGGTTGTTACAGGTTTTTCAGGCTATATGGACATGTTCTAGAAGCATTCTCTCCTGACATTTCACTTGCATCTATGGCAGGCATCCTCAGAGGTTGTGAAATCTGTTGGAAACTAGAAAAATTGGGTTTATATATCTGTGGAATAATGTCCAGGGTGGGAGAAAGAACTCTTGTCTGTTGGAGCTAGGTGGGAATATTTCAATTGGCCACCTTGATTGGCATTTGATAGCTGACAGCTTTAAGGCATGGCTTATTACTGCTTGGGGGAATCCTTTGTTGAGAGGTGATTAGCTGTCCCTGATTGTTTTTTGTCTGGAGTTCCCCTGCGTTTGAGGGTTCTTTATTTACTGATATAATTTTAAAGTTTTTTAATACAGGTAGCCAGATTTTGTTCATTTTCATGGTTTATTCTCTGAGGATGCCTGCCATAG